AGCAGAGGTATCCTTGGGGCATTACGCTACTTATTTCTGCTCTGCATTCCAAAACTATGATACCATAATCCTTGGGGCAACAGGAATTAGTTCTCCTCTCTTGCCAATGTGATACATCATCTGGTGGTCAAGTTTACTGAATAAAAATCTTACTGTGTACTCTCTGAATACTTCTCTTGCTAAAATAAGAGGGAGGCCAGAAGGAGAAGCAACAAGAACATGAAGAACAACAACAAAGTTAATATGAAACAACACAAATAGTTTATTGAAAAATGTCATCTTTCAAAACAGAATCCTATCAATAAGGAGAGCTTACATAAAATGATGCACATTTGTATGAAATGAATCAAGGTAAAACAAACACAGTAAATGACCGAGATGGCTAGGTAATAGGGACCAAAGACCCCTTGCTGAACCAAAGCACTAGAGATGCCAAGTCAAGAATCAAAGGAACCTCTCTCAGTTTCAAAACAAACAAATTTGCAGGGATGGAGATCCAAACCAGGAATATGGCAGTCTTTCTGGATAGACTTCAAGCAAGCTTTGTGGAGGTAGTAAAACCTGATCCAAGAAATTGTATCGTACACATTCCTAGGATATTTAATTGCTTCTCTGTTCATTGAAAGTTTCTGAAAATCAATGTATCAGCAGATGCCAAAGTGTCTCTTTCCTTCACAAAAGCCATACATTTTTGCACCAACACCTTTTTCTTTTTGTCTCCTCTGCTGAGTTGATGCTGTTGCCTTTTTATTTTTGCCATCTGCCCTGGAGCTTCATTAAAGATACATGAATGGACTAACTGGCCTGATATCTTGTGAGGAACAGGTGCTATTGTTTGTCCCTGAAGACTTGCACTAAAGATCTGACTCTGAATACTTAAGAAAGAGCATCTGCAGCAGTCAGTCAGAGAGCAACTTGGCAAAGACCTTGCAGTGTGCTAATGTACAAACACAGTGACACTCAAGGGGGCTCATTTCCTCTTTCATGAAGATTTAACTATTTTTTTTTTTCTTATAAGATTAGAAATGTGTACCGAAAACTTCACAATGCTCTTTAAAGCCTGTCACTGAATACCAGGAGCAAACTATGAAAGCCAAATTTATTCTGTGTGAAATATAGATCTAAATAAAGGCAGCTGCTAAAGACTTTCTGGATTTACACTGAAAATACAAATGAAATACCACAGGTTTTTCACGTTTGATAGTCAAATGGTAGCCTGGTCTTAAGTTTTAAATTTTATCCCTAATTAATGATTTAGTTCTAAAGTTATGGGTCATGATTAGATGACTACTTTAATTCTTTCTCTTTCTTCCTATATACTTACTATCTACCTATCAATCTAATTTAACATAAAACAGTTGTATGAAAGAAGACGATTAAGGTCATCATTCTATTGAAAATTTAGATATGAACAGCATTTGTGATGCTTTTCAAGCCTACTAAGGAATTACAAGATTGTAATCTTTGTATAGGCTAGAAATATAATTGCTATTAGATTAGAAACAATAGATTCATTAAACTGACCAATGCTTTGAAATTGATTAATGTGGACAATATTCTTACATATTAATATATGTAAGAGTAATAGATAATCATTTAATATGTGTATAGTATACATACAGATGCACACAGAGAGAGAAGCAGAGAGACAAAGAAAGAGTATATAAGAATAGTATTAATTTTCCCCTTCTTGAACTTTGAATAGGATTTCAATTCAGTGAGGAGGAGACTTGAAATAGATTTACTACTGTACTTATCACACAGCTTTACTTTTTCTCTTTACTGACTGCCCTACTACAAATGTATTTTGGCCACTACTGTAGTTTCCAATGAGTATATCATATCATCATTAGGAACTGGGAAAACTTTCCCTTTAACTATTAGCATTCAGGCAATACTAAATGAGGAGGGAGTAGGAAGACAGAAAAATGGAATGGTTTCGATTCTTATTAGACTAGACCAGGGGTACTCAACCTTTTTATACCTACCACCCACTTTTGTATCTCTGTTAGTAGTAAAATTTTCTCTAACTGCCCACCAGTTCCACAGTAATGGTGATTTATAAAGTAGGGGACAAAACCCCTACCGCCCACCATGAAAGCTGGAACGCCCACTAGTGGGCGGTAGGGACCAGGTTGACTACCACTGGACTAGACAAACTGTAGCCTGTTTATCATATTTGCCTTCAAATAAACAGGATCCCTTTCCGTGTTATTGCCTTGTCATGTTAGAGTCGTTTGCATTGCTGGCAGAAACAGCATGCTGGTATTACAACGCAGAGAAACAGGATTTGTATATAGACAATTTCATCTTCCTGAAAAGCTGATTGTCCACCTGGCAAAACGTGAATGATATCTATCCCACTTCAATGACCTAATTAATTTCATAATTAATTTCATTCATATTCATGGCATGGTAAGATACTTTGAGATTCAAGTTCCTAATAAGTTAGTAACATGTGTACCTTATAAGAGTCAGTCTGATCTAGTGGTTAAGGCATTAGGCTATAAACTCGGAAACCATGAGTTCTAGTCCTGCCTTAGGTACAAAGCCAAGCAAATGATCTTGACCACAGTCATTCTCTCTTGGATCCAGGAGGGAGTCAATGGCAAGCTAATTCTGAAAATCCTTGCAAGAAAACTGGGACTTGTCCAAAAACTAGATATGATTGAATGGGGAAAAAAGCTACAAATATATATTTTAGTGTTTTGCATGCATACTTTATTATATATATTTTTAGCTTGATGTCTTAATCACTATATCAAAATGCTTCAATATATGTGTGTGTGTGTGTGTGTGTTTGTGTGTGTTTGTGTGTGTGTGTGTGTATATATATATATATACGTATGTGTGTGTGTGTGTATCCTAATATATGTACAGCATATAATCTTATTTTATATCCTATACAACATTTTATGTCTATAGCCTATTATATTCTCTGTAAGCTCTCTTGTAAAAAGGAAGTTTGTTAATAATTTTTCTAAATTTGTTTTAGCACTTAATATGAATAATTATGTGAGTACTTTGTTTAGAATTTATGTATTGGCAGTATTCAATAAAAGAAATAATTTGTTTTCCCTAAATTATTATTTTTTCTTCTTCTATTAACCTTAAGATTTGTTTGCAATAAGGCAGTGAATAAGTCATATATGCATGGAAAACATCTTGTATAATTAAATACAATCAAAAATATTTATAATGAATTATGCATATATCAATATTTTTTGTTAAAAACATTTTATAACTGTAGGAAAAGTTATGTGAATATTTAACAATAAATTAGTTCCATTCTACAATCTTTCCTTAATGTTTGCTCTTCCTGATAGTCATTCCAACTATAATTTGAAAAGGATGTATAAAAATAAATATAATTGTAGTGTTCACTATCTTCATATTGATTCACAATAAATTTATAATAAATATGAATATAGTAAACTTCATATTTGTTTATTAATTGTATCAC